ATGTCAGTTTACCATGATATGTCATTTTACCAAATGTCAGTTTACCATGATATGTCAGTTTACCATGTCAGTTTACCATGATATGTCATTTTACCATGATATGTCAGTTTACCATGATATGTCAGTTTACCATATGTCAGTTTACCATGATATGTCAGTTTACCATATGTCAGTTTACCATGATATGTCAGTTTACCATGACAGTTTACCATGATATGTCAGTTTACCATATGTCAGTTTACCATGATATGTCATTTTACCAAATGTCAGTTTACCATGATATGTCAGTTTACCATGTCAGTTTACCATGATATGTCATTGGACGGACATGGACAACACTTTATGCCCCCCCTCCCCCCCATTTTATGGCGGGGGCATACAAATTTTAAATTGACATTAAAACTTCCTTCAAGTGAGTTTAGAACACAGTTAAAAATGTGACCATGACAGTAACACAAATTCTTGTACAAGGTACTTTTATGTTAGGTTATTACCAAGTCTGATCAAAATCACTGCAGAAATGATTTGATGAATAAAAATTCTATATTCATTTTATAGTAAAAACTATCTTAATCTTGGTACCTTAAACACGAACTCGTTCAAGGTATTCTCATAATTAAATATATCATGAAATTGATCAATTAAGACACACGAGTAAAGATCAGAAGTGAATGAATGCAGGTACATAAAAATGTCCATGCATATGAGAGTTATCAGGAATATTCGACACATGACCGGAACCAAAATCGAAATTATATGGTGCCCTTTGGTGTTAAAAAATCCCTCAAGGAATGAAGCCGCTAGAGCGCTGATAGTTACAGTGACCTTGACCTTGACCCAACATCTGAATTGTGATCCTGCGACCTCTACAACAACCAGAAATTTATATTTATTTTGTGGTTTGTACTACCGACAAATATTTTTGTTCAAGGTCTTGTTGCTTAAGTATTATCAATATACTTACACAAAAAATGGTAAAGTGTAGAATTAGCACCTAGAATTAGGAAGATGGAAACATTCAGGACTAAGTTTTCAAAGCATGGTTAGCTTCATAATAGTTAACCAAAACAATTTCATTATTTATAATATTTCTTAGTTGATCAAACTTTGAGCAACTTGGTCCAGGTCATTATCCAATTAATCATGGGTCTATAATTTATCGACTGTAATTAATGAATCAGTCAACATCAGGTCATTCTGGCCTAGGATTATCACACAAACATTAAGAGTTCAAACAGCCCATCAAATTCCACAGAAAAACACAATTGCAGAATTTTAAGGGGCTCTTCCTTCAGTCTCATTGAGGAAAACATGTCTTGGTTATATGTAAAGCTATACACCTTACTGTAGACAGAACAGTTAACAATGCTAGTCTACTAGCCATCATCTTCATTGTCCTCACTGTGTGGGCTCTCCTCCTCCCCCTGGACAGTACAAGGGGCAGCTTCAGAGGGAGCAGGAAGTCTAATGAAGTAGACATAACTTGGGAATGTTCCAGGAGGATCCCTTTGGTCTGTTTTACAGGGGTCGAGATCGCCATATTGATTGTTCGGGTAGTCGTACCATCTTCCTGCTGGTCTGCCTACGCAGTCTGTTCTACCTTCTGGTATGAAGACACGGGACATATAGTGCCCTTGTATGTGAAGATCCTCTTTTCCAGGTCGAAAAAATGTGAAGAGGAACATCATATACCTGTAATGATATCATATTTTTCTAATAATAAGTAAATAGGAACAAGAGGCCCAATGGGCCTGCATCGCTCACCTGGTATTAATCTCACACTTGTAATCTTAAAAGTGGACTAAAATACAGCTACAGGCAGAATATCAGTGTTTGATTCATAAGAACCTATTAAAAGATTTAAACATATGACGCCTGTGACCTTGAATGTTGAACAAGGACATTAGGTTGAAAGTGGGTCAAGGTCATTCATTTGAACAAATTTGAAAGCCCTTCATCCCAGCATGTTACAGGCCCAATATCAGTACCCTAGGTCATTTGGTTATTGAGAAGTTGTTTGAAGATTTGAAGACATTTGACCCCTGTAACCTTGTAAGTGGGTCAAGGTCATTCATTTGAACAAACTTGGTAGCCCTTCATCCAAGCATGCTACAGGCCAAATATCAGTGCCCTGGACCTTTTGGTTATTGAAAAGAAGTTGATTGAAGATTTTAAGACATTTTACCCATGTGACCTTGAAAGTGGGTCAAGGTCATTCATTTGAGCAAACTTGGTAGCCCTTCATCTCAGCATGCTACTTGCCCAAAATGAGTACCCTGGGCCTTTTGGTTATTGAGAAGAAGTTGTTTTAATGGAAAAGTTGACCACGGGCGGACGACGGACGCCGTACCACAGCATAAGCTCACTTGCCCTTCGGGAAGGTGAGCCAATAAAACCACCTTATTCAATATCTAGCATACAGATTTAAGACTAAAAAGTATTTGAAACTAGCACCTCTGATTCTAAACAAGGAAAATGAAGAAATTTTAGCACACTGACTCCTTTGGGCCCCACCCTACAGCCCTTGGGGGTAGGGCTGGCTCGAAATTTTCGAAGTATCAAACTGTCAACTCAGGTTATAATTCCAATCAAGTTATTAACATGTAATATTCAGAGTATCATTTGCCTTTATAAACCATAATAAATTCCTTCCCCAGGGGGTAAACGTGAGACCCTAGGGTCATAAACCTTAAGACCCTTCCATCTATGAAGAGTGTTTGATTCTACCATATCTGGGTCTTGAGAAAAAGATTTTTGAAATTTCAGTCAATTCAACCCTTTTTGGCCCCACCCATCAGCCCCGGGGGGTCAGTCAGGGCTCATATGTGCATACCATCAAACTGCTATCCAATACTCAGATAATGCTAACCTAAATTGAATTACCTCCAATGGCAATTTAACAAATGTCAGTCCAAAATGTGATATCCCTATATAAACTATAGTAGAGTTTACCCCCTCCCCAGCGGGAAACGTGAGACCCAAGGGTCATGAAATTCACAATTTTGGTAAAGCACATTAAGACCCTTCCAGCTATGAAGAGTATTTGATTCTACCATATCTGGGTCTTGAGAAGAAGATTTTTGAAATTTCAGTCAATTCGACCCTTTTTGGCCCCACCCATCAGCCCGGGGGGTCAGTCAGGGCTCATATGTGCATACTATCAAACTGCTACCTAATACTGATAATGCTAACCTAAATTGAATTACTTCCAATGGAAATAAAACAAAGTTGGTCCAAAATGTGATTTCCCTATATAAACTATAGTAAAGTTTACCCCGGCCACTATTTTGTTGACCTTTGGCCATGGAAGGTTTCTGCAAAATTTCATTGAAATTGGTTCAGGGGTTTTGGGGAAGAAGTCGAAAATGTAAATTGTTTACAGACGCACGACGGACGACGGACCCCGGACGACGCCGGACAAAAGGTGATCGCAATAGGTCACTTGAGACTTTGTCTCAGGTCACCTAAAAAGTTTACGCACGATGCACGACGGACGACGGACGGAAAGCAATTAGAATAGGTCACTTGAGCAAAGCTCAGGTGACCTAAAAAGGAAATAATGTAGTCTATCATTATGACCCCCATTTGTGATGTACTGATGTTAATCATCAATTAAATATAAACCTGTTTCAGTGTTATAAGATAATATAATGGGTGATATAATAAAACTATAGTTAAGTTAAATTCACATATTTCCATATCCCACAAGTGTCGATGCACTGGAAATCATCACGGAGTAGGATAAGTCTCTATCAAAGTCACCTCCGGATCCGAATGGTTTACCAAACTCTAGGTCATGAAATGGAGGCATTAGATTATCCTGGCATGTCTGCTTATCTCTGTTTCTTCTTCACTCTTTAAAAGAACAAGAGGCCCAAGAGGACCTGTATCGCTCACCTGAATATTTAAGCAGTCATAGCAAAATATTCTCATTAAATATTATATTGCACTAAAAATATTTCCCTCGCAAACTTTGTTGGCTCCATCTGTTGAAATTACCAGCAAAATATAATTATAAGATTCTATGCTTTTTTATTCTTCTTCAGAAGTTGCTTGACATATTTTCCCCCTCTGATCTTGTAAGTAGGTCAATGTCATTTTCTTTCTCAAATTGGTTAGCTCTATTCCAAAAAGCTACCAGCCAAATCTTATGAATCCATTCCTTTTAGTTCTCAAGAACAAATCCATTAAAATGTTGTTGACCTCTGTGACCTCTAAAGTAGGTTGAGGTCATTTTCATTCGCAAACTTTGGTGAGCGCTATCCCAGGAAGTCACCAGCCAAATATTATAATTTTATGCCTTTTAATTCTTCAGAAGAAGCTGTTTGAACTGTTTGACATATTTGGACGCTGTGACCTTGAAAGTAGGTCAAGGTCATTTTCATTCGAAAACTTTGTTTGGCTCTTTCCCAGGAAGCCACCTGCCAAATATTAAGATTTTATAACTACCAGTTCTTCAGAAGAAGTCGTTTAAAGTGTTTGACATATCTGCCTCATGTGACCTTAAAAGAAGGTCAAGGTCATTTTCATTTTCAAACTTTGTTCGGCTCTTTCCTAGGAAGCTACAAGCCAAATATAAAGATTCTATACCTTTCAGTTCTTCAGAAGAAGTCATTTGAAGCTTTTGACATATTGGACCCCTGTGACCTTGAAAGTAGGCCAAACTAATTTTAATTCTCAAAATTTGTTGGGCTCTATCCCAGGAAGCGACCAGCCAAATATAAAGATTCTATACCTTTCAGTTCTTCAGAAGAAGTCGTTTGAAGTGTCTGACACATTTGACTCCTGTGACCTTGAAAGAAGGTCAAGGTCATTTTCATTCTCAAACTTTGTCGGGCTCTATCCAAGGAAGCCATCAATCAAAAATAAAGATTCTATACCTTTCAGTTCTTCAGAAGAAGTCATTTGAAGCTTTTGACATATATGACCCCTGTGACCTTGAAAGTAGGTCAAACTAGTTTTCATTCTCAAACTTTGTTGGGCTCTATCCCAGGAAGCCACCAGCCAAATATAAAGATTATATACCTTTCAGTTCTTCAGAAGAAGTCGTTTGAAGTGTTTGACACATTTGACCCCTGTGACCTTGAAAGAAGGTCAAGGTAATTTTCATTCTCAAACTTTGTTGGGCTCCATCCAAGGAAGCCATCAGCCAAATATGAAGATTCTATACCTTTTAATTCTTCAGAAGAAGTCGTTTGAAGTTTTTGACATATTTGACCCCTGTGACCTTGAAAGTAGGTCAAACTAATTTTCATTCTCAAACTTTGTTGGTCTCTATCCCAGGAAGCCACCAGCCAAATATAAAGATTCTATACCTTTCAGTTCTTCAGAAGAAGTCGTTTGAAGTGTTTGACACATTTGACCCCTGTGACCTTGAAAGTAGGTCAAGGTCATTTTCATTCTCAAACTTTGTTGGGCTCTATCCCAGGAAGCCATCAGCCAAATATGAAGATTCTATACCTTTTAGTTCTTCAGAAGAAGTCGTTTGAAGTTTTTGACATATTTGACCCCTGTGACCTTGAAAACAGGTCAAGGTCATTTTCGTTCTCAAACTTTGTAGGGCTCCTACCAACGAAGCTTTCAGCTAAATATTATGACTCTAGGCCTGTCCGTTCTTCAGAAGAAGTTGTTTAAAGGAAAAGTTGACGGACGAGGACGGATGGACGACGGACGGACGACGGTATGCTATGACATCATTGTTGTTTTTACTGTTGTAGACGTCACTATATACTGTTTTTGTTGTTTGTCGCTAGGCAGCGCACCGCTTTCTGTTCTCATGTTCCTTTTGAAAATAATGCATTGTTATGATGACGGCCCACATAGTGGGCCAAAACATGTAAAGGGGAATAAATTTGCAGAGACTCCCCATTTGATGTTGTCTGGTCATCTCTCCTTTGAATTTCGATTACTCTTATGGCCGGACTAGTGAATTCTTATTAGGAATCCACCAACTGGGGTAAACAGAACTTTACTGAACATCCACTAGCAGATGTTGGTCCTCATTTTATTTGTATTTTCAAATAAAGATCAGAGTGATTTTTTATGACATTTGCCAGAATCGACCAGATCTTAATTACTAAGGAGTTAATAATCATTACCTCTCTCCAAACAGCTCTACAATCTCACTATCATTGACACTTTGACTGTTTGGTATGTGACGATGTAGAGGGATCAAGTTCACTGCCAGGATCAATGGGGGAGTTCCTGATTCAAATATAACATTGCTGATTGTTCGACCGCCACACCTGTAGACACATCATAGAACAATGTTTAATTCAAACAAAAAAATATAATGTGAGCTGAATACTCTTAAACAAATTTATTTCAGAGACGTTATATTTCGCTATTGTTGCATTTAACGTCAGTACCACAAATTCCTTAACACAACCAATCAGAGGGGTCTTGGCTAATTATCATTTGTAAGCTCATTCTGGTCCTATGCTAGTTCTATTATTTTTCTTTATTTCTCTTAGTCATGTCAACAGACCATTCACCTTGAGGTAACTTTTGAGTTAACTTGTGTTTGACATTTCATGTCAATTCAAAGAGAGATTTTTGTTTGACCTATTTATAAGGGCTTTTCACTTTTTGTGAAAAGACCTATTGGAATTGTTATGTTTCTTATTCTTCTTATTCTTCTTTTTATTTTTGATTGGTAAAAGATAAGTTTATAGTCTTTTAAGTATGTTGTAGGCCAAGGTCTGAAGATGTTCCATGAACATTTCCAAGTAGGTCAAAAATCCAATATGGCCACCATGACGTCATAGGTTATAATTCTCATATCTAACTTTTTCTAATTACATGTTAATACAAAATATTTAAAATAAAAAAGCTCGCTGTTGAGTCAAAGGTCACAAATTTTTAATAAACATTCATTCCGATGAATTTGATGTCTTTTTCTGTAACATTTACAATTAACGTTGTATGCCATTTTGAATATTTCCTTTTGATCTTTTAAAAATGCGGACAATTTGGTAACATTTGTTTTACTCCAATATCTCCAATATCAATGACAAATGTTTCCTTTAGTAATGGAAAAAGTTTCCCCAGATGTCCTCTAACATTTGGAAATATTTTCAACTTCATTGAAAAAACAAAATGGACGCCATGACGGCATATCTGATTTTAACTCCAATTGCAATCACTCAATAAAGGGTAAATGTATTTAATTCATCTTTGGATATGTTGTGCAGAATAACAAATTAATAACTTTTCTAGGGAAACACTATTGAGTAAAATGTCAACTTCTGGGTTTCATTAGGTGTCAAAGTACGAATGTGTAATTTTGTGAAAAGAAATCTTCTTAATAACCAAGTGACCCAAGGTCATGATATTTGGTGAATATCATGCTCAAGCAATGGACTATCAAGTTTGATAATAGGAATGACCTTGACCCATGTTCAAGGTCACTGGGGTGAATTATGTTAAAATCTTCAAATGACTCCTTCTCAATAATGAAAATGCCACGGATATTGGTTTTTGGTCTATGTATGGGCTACCAAGGTTATGCACAAGAATTATCATAAAAAGTCAACTTTCGGTTTTTGGTAGGGGTCAAAGTTTGAATGTGTATTTATGTGAAACAAACTTCAAACAAGAGACCCAATGGGCCTGAATCGCTCACCTGGTATAAATCTCACACTTGTAATCTTAAAAGTGGACTGATATACAGCTACAGGCAAAATATCTGTGGTCGATTCATTAAAATCTATAAAATGATTTAAACATATGATCCCTGTGACCTTGAAAGAGTTTATAGCCTTCTGTCTCGGCATGCTTCTGGCTAAATATCATTACCCTGGACCTTTTGAATATTCAGAACAAGTCATTTAAAGATTTAAAGATCCCTGTGACCTTGAATATGAGCGAAGGTCATTCATTTGAACAAACTTGGTAGCCCTTCATCCCAGCATCTAACTGGCAAATTATCATTATCCTAGGCCTCTTGGGCATGCAGAAGAACATGCAGAAGAAGTGTTTTAAACATATTTGACCACTGTGACCTTGAAAAATAATGAAGGTCATTCATTCGTACAAACGTGGTAGCCCTTGATTCCAGCATGCTACTGGCAAAATATCATCATCCTAGGCCTTTTGGTTACTGAAAAGAAGTTGTTTAAAGTACCAAGAGGCCCATGGGCCTAAACGGTCACCTGAGTTCCTATATATTTATACAGAGAGTTGATTTTTGATTTAAAACATGAACAGAAATATTATTCAAAGTGACAAACAAGAGGCCCAATGGGCCTGCATCGCTCACCTGGTATTAATCTCACACTTGTAATCTTAAAAGTGGATTAAAATACAGCTACAGGCAGAATATTAGTGTTTGATTCATAAGAACACATTAAAAGATTTAAACATATGACGCATGTGACCTTGAATGTTGAACAAGGACATTAGGTTAAAAGTGGGTCAAGGTCATTTATTCAAACAAACTGGAAAGTCCTTCATCCCAGGATGCTACCTACAGGCCCAATATCAGTACTTTGGGCCTTTTGGTTACTGAGAAGAAGTTGATTGAAGATTTTAAGACATTTGACCCCTGTTACCTTGAAAGTTGGTCAAGGTCATTCATTTGAACAAACTTTGTAGCCCTTCATTCCAGCATGCTACTGGCCAAATATCAGTAACCTGGGCCTTTTGGTTATTAAGAAGAAGTTGTTTGAAGATTTTAAGAACTTTTACCCCTGTAACCTTGAAAGTTAGTCAAGGTCATTCATATGGACAAACTTGGCATTCCTTCATCCGAGCATGCTACAGGCCAAATATCAGTACCCTTGTCTTATCGGTTATTGAGAAGTTGTTTGAAGATTTTAAGACATCTGACCCAAATGACCTCGAAAGTGGGTCAAGGTCATTCATTTGAAGAAACTTGTTAATCCTTCATCCCAGTATGATACAGGCCCAATTTCAGTCCCCTTGGCCTTTCGGTTATTGAGAAGAATTTGTTTGAAAATGTTAAGACATTTGACCCCTGTGACCTTGAAAGTGGGTCAAGGTCATTTATTTGAACAAACTTGTTAGTCCTTCATCCCAGTATCATACACGCCCAATTTCAGTCCCCTTGGCCTTTCGGTTATTGAGAAGTCGTTTGAAGCTTTTAAGACAATTGACCCATGTAACCTTGAAAGTGGGTCAAGGTCATTCATTTGAATAAACTTGTTAGTCCTTCATCCCAGTATACTACAGGCCAAATTTCAGTCCCCTTGGCCTTTCTGTTATTGAGGAGAAGTTGTTTGAAAATTTTAAGACATTAGACCCGTGGTTTTAAAAATATTTTACCCCTGTGACCTTGACAATAGGTGAAGGTCATTCATTTGAACAAACTTTGTAGCCCGGCATCCTAGCATGTTACTGGTCAAATATCATCATCCTGGGTATTTTGGTTATTCAGAAGTTGTTTAAGTGTTTTAAACACATTTGATCACTGTGACCTTGAATATCTGTCAAGGTCATTCATTTGAACAAACTTCGTAGCCCTTTATCCCAGCATATTACTTGCCAAATATTATTATCCTAGGCCTTTTGGTTATTGAAGTTGTTTTACGGTTTTAAACATATTTGACCCCTGTGACCTTGAATATACGTCAAGCTCATTCGTTTCAACAAATTTGTAGCCCTTAATCCCAGTATGTTACTGGCCCATATATCATCTTCCAGGGCATTTTGGTTATTCAGAATAAGTTGTTTAAAGGTTTAAAACATATTTGACCCATGTGACATTGAATATAAACCAAGGTCTTTCATCTGAACAAACTTGGTAGCCCTTTATACCAGCATTTTACTGGCCAAATATCATTATCCTAGGCCTTTTGGTTATTGATAAGTTGTTTAAAGGTTTTAAAAATATTTTACCCCTGTGACCTTGACAATAGGTGAAGGTCATTCATTTGAACAAACTTGGTAGCCCTTCATCTCAGCATGCTACTGGCCAAATATCATAACCCTTGGCATTTTGGTTATTCAGTAGAAGTTGTTTTAAGGTTTAAAACATATTAGACCCATGTGACCTTGAATATACGTCAAGGTCATTTGTTTGAACAAAGTTGGTAGCCCTTTATCCAGCATGCTAGTGGCCAAATATTATTATCCTAGGCCTTTTGGTAATTGAAAAGTTGTAATTGAAAAGTTGATTAAAGGTTTTAAATATATTTGACCCCTGTGACCTTGAATATTTGTCAAAGTCTTTCATTTGAACAAACTTGCTAGCTCTTCATCCTAGCATGTTACTGGCAAAATTTCATTATCCTAGGCCATTTGGTTATTGAGGAGAAGTTGTTTAAAGGTTTTAAACATATTTTACCCCTGTCGCCTTCAATATATGTAAAGGTCATTCATTTGAACAAACTTGGTAGCTCTTCACCCTAGCATGTTACTGGCAAAATTTCATTATCCTAGGCCTCTTAGTTATTCAGAAGAAGTTGTTTAAAGATTTTTTTAGACAATTGACCCCTGTGACCTTGAATATAAGTGAAGGTCATTCATTTGAACAAACTTGATAGCCCTTTACCCTAGCATGCTACTGGCCAAATATCATCACCCTGTGCATTTTGGTTAATCAGAGGAAGTTGTTTAATGTTTTTAACATATTTGACCCTTGTGACCTTGAATATGGGTCAAGGTCATTCATTTGAACAAACTTGATAGCCCTTCATTCCAGTTTGCTTCTGGCCAAATACCATCACTCTAAGCCTCTTGGTTATTAAGAACAAGTTGTTTAAAGTAAAATATTGACGCTGGACGGACGCCCCCCACGGCATAAATAAGCTCACTTGGCCCTTTGCACCAGGTGAGCAAAAATGCCGACAATATATTAAAACTTGTTTTACTCTTATATCAATGACAAATATTTCGTTAAGTTGTTATGGAAAAGGTTTCCCCAAATGGCCTCTAAAATTTTGGTAACATTTTCAACTTTATCAAAAAAACAAAATGGACGCCATGACGTCATATCCAAATTTTTCTCTAATTGCAATACCTCATTAACGGGTGAATGTATTTAATTAGGGCTTTTCACCAACTGGTGAAAAGAATTCTTATTCTTCTTCCGTACTTTTGTGGAGTCTGTATCTTTTGATTGGTAAAAGATAGGTTTATAGTCTTTTGAGCATGTTGTAGGCCAAGGTCTGAAGATGTTCCAGGAACATTTTCAAGTAGGTCAAAAATCCAATATGGCCACTATGACGTCATAGGATAACATCTTTCAAACCGCTATTACTCGAGAACCGTTGATTGTACAGAATTCTTACAATTATATTATTTGTAGATAATTTCCATATCTAGTTTTTTCTCAATATATGATAATACAAAATATTTTAAATAAAAAAGCTTGCTGTTGGGTCAAAAGTCACCATTTTTCTTGAAAAATTCTCCTATAGATCGATGTAGAATGCCATCCCGCTGAATTTGATGTGTTAAGTTTTTCTGTAACATTTTCCGTTAACGTTCTATGGCGTGTTGATTATTGCCTTTGATCTTTTTTGAAAAGCCGACATTATTTTTACAAACTTCCACGATCTTAGTTGTTCTAAGCGTTAGACATATCTGACTCCTGTGACCTTGAAAGTAGGTCAAGGTAACTTTTATTCACAAACTTTGTTGGGCTCTTTCCCAGGAAATAACCAGCCAAATATTAAGGTTCTATAACTTCCAAATCTTCAGAAGAAATCGTTTGGACTGTTTGAAATATCTGCCTCATGTGACCTAAAAAGTAGGTCAAGGTCATTTTCATTCTCAAACTTTGTTGGGCTCTTTCCTTGGAAGCTACAAGCCAAATATAAAGATTCTATACCTTTCAGTTCTTCGAAGAAGTCATTTGAAGCTTTTGACATATATGACACCTGTGACCTTGAAAGTAGGTCAAATTAATTTTCATTCTTAAACTTTGTTGGGCTCTATCCTAGGAAACCACCAGCCAAATATAAAGATTCTATACCTTTCAGTTCTTCGAAGAAGTCATTTGAAGCTTTTGACATATATGACACCTGTGACCTTGAAAGTAGGTCAAATTAATTTTCATTCTTAAACTTTGTTGGGCTCTATCCTAGGAAACCACCAGCCAAATATAAAGATTCTATACCTTTCAGTTCTTCAGAAGAAGTTGTTTGAAGTGTTTGACACATTTGACCCCTGTGACCATGAAAGGTGGTCAAGGTCATTTTCATTCTCAAACTTTGTTGAGCTTCATCCCAGGAATCCATCAGCCAAATATGAAGATTCTATACCTTCTAGATCTTAAAAAGAAGTTGTTTGAAGTGTTTGACACATTTGACCCCCGTGACCTTGAAAGTAGGTCAAGGTCATTTTCATTCTTAAACTTTGTTGGGCTCTATCCCAGGAAGCCATCAGCCAAATATGAAGATTCTATACCTTTCAGTTCTTCAGAAGAAGTCGTTTGAAGTTTTTTCAATATTTGACCCCTGTGACCTTGAAAACAGGTCAAGGTCATTTTCGTTCTCAAACTTTGTAGGGCTCCNCTTTGTCGTGCTCCTACAAACAAATAAAATATCATGACTCTAGGCCTGTCCATTCTTCAGAAGAAGTTGTTTAAAGGAAAAGTTGAAGGACGAGGATGGACGGACTGATGACGGACGCTTGCACCATGACATAAGCTCACTTGCCCTTCGGGCAGGTGAGCTAAAAATGGTTGACATTGATCAACTATCAAGGTCACAATCAAGGTCACAAATTTCAAATGTTTAAAAAATTAAAATTACTTTTAATCAAGAATATTTCGAAAATTGTTCAATAAATTCATTTTACATTCAAGTATGATGTGGACAACACAAATGTGCACATTTTTGGCATAAAACATTTTGAGTTGACCGGGTCAAGTTTTGAGTTATTCAGGGGTCAAACTTCATATGTGCTATTTCAAGATAATGACTTCAAAAAACTTCTTCTAAAGTTCTACAAGGTCTAGAGTCCTACTATTTGATCAATAACACGGCAAGGTAATTGGCTATCAAGTTTGAAAATATGATTGACCTTGAATGACTTTCAAGGTCACAGAGGTCATATATGTAACAAGAGATCCCAGAGGGATCTTGGCGCCCACCATTGTACCATCTTCATTAGTTCTTTGTCAGTTCGATCTTTTCTCTTCTTTCCTCTATTCTGTTTGATCGAGTCATGTTAACAGTAAATGCACCTTGAGGTAACTTTTGATCTAAACTTAATACTGATGTGTATGAAAGCCAACCTTCAAAGTGAGTTTGTCATTTCACATATTTACTAGTACAGTACTTAATGTGAAAGAAATAGAATCGATCATTGCAATATGAGAAAGATCTGTTTAGTTCTTCCTTTCGCCATTTTGTTTTTATGATCAGTCTCAAAATATAACATGCACAAGGAGGGATCAAGGGGAACCTACATATTAAATTTGAGAAAGATCTTTCAAGTTATTCCTGAGAAATAGTACTAACAAACCTTCAATGTCAAAAATCGAAGATGGCTGTCGGTAGGCCATTTTGTTTAACTGATCAGTTTCAAAAGTAAACAAAGGATAGTGGGAACCTTCATTGGCTTGCCCCAAATTTGTTTTGGGGCGAGTAAAAAATTTGAAGCACTGGCCCAAATGACATATTGGTGGCCCAAATAATATTGGGGAGAAATATTTCCACAGCATTTAACACAAGGCTTCACCACATTTAAATTACATATAACATGACAATGTTTGTAATATGTTAAACAGAATAAAAAATTATATTTCTAATTCTTCAACCCACTCCATTCAGGTTTCCCGAAGAAATACACAAAACTCGCACATCAAAGAAGACAACCTGGACGTATATTTATATAGAAAATCTGGAAAAAAAATCATCACATTTTCTAAATCATTGGACAGTTCGATTCAAATCAAAGTAATGACAACTGAAAACTGTACCCCCCCCAGTTAATGTGGAAGGGACTATAATTTCTTTTATTCATTATTTTTTCAACAGTAGCTCAAACTATTTCTGTTGGGCCAGTGACTACCTCACTTTTGACAACTTTTAGTAACTCGAGCAAGACTTTAACCGCCATTGGCAAGCAAGCGACCGTCCATTTCAGGTACTGCTGCACAACAAGGGAACAAGGGGAACCTACATATAAAATTTGAGAAAGATCCTTCTGGTACTTCCCGAGAAATAGCGATAACAAACTTTCACTATCAAAATCCAAGATCGCTGCCTGTCGGCCATGTTGTTTATCCGATCAGTCTCAAAAGTTGCCCTGCACAGCTAAGGACCAAGGCAAACCTACATATTAAATTTGAGAAAGATCCTTCTGGTACTTCTTGAGAAATACCGATAACAAACTTTCACTATCAAAATCCAAGATGGCTACCTGTCGGCCATGTTGTTTATCCGATCAGTCTCAAAAGTTGCCCTGTCAGCTTAGGACTAAGAGGAACCTACATATAAAATTTGAGAAAGATCCCTCTTGTACATCAGATGATCATGGTGGGCTAAAAATATTGAAACCACTTTTTCTGAATAACCAATAATTCCAGGGTAACGATGTTTGGCAAAGAAGCATGCTTGAATGAAAGGCTTTAAAGAGTGTGCAAATGAATGACCTTGACCTACTCTACATATACTCTCAGTACTTTGATTTATATCAAGACATCTAATACACGCTGGTAATACTACATCGATTACTACGCACTCTCAATCTTAAAAGTAGGGACAGTTTACATCTCTACTGCAGTGGGTAAACATCAGCCTTTCTTTTGCATGGCAAACCCAACCAATATAGACAGAAAGCTAAGTTTCAATTCATCATCCTGACGTACATAGTGGACAGACTATATGACTTTTACAGACAACATTCGTATACAACAACGCTCATTTGCTTCCAAGTTATTATTACAAGGCCTTACAGTGAAAAGCCCGTCAAATTGTTAGTCAACAATTTCTAGTTTTTATTATTATTCTACACAAATCTTGTCACAGCCTTTTCTGCTTAATGACAGCAGGTATTCCCTTGATATTTTAACATGTTGTAGGTCATGGTCTAAATTTGACCTATGCCATGTAATAAGGAAAAAGGTCAAGACTAAATCCTTGCCAATTGGGGTCTAAGGTCACCTATTTTTTAAACTTTTTCATTTTTAACTTTTTTTGATTTGTTTTAGTAATTGATAATAAATGGCCATCCGATCAATTTGATATTTATTGCTTCTGAAACATTTTCTGTTAACGTTATATGATGCATTATTGACTTTGATCTTTTTGAAAAGCAGAGAATATTTTTACAAACTTCAATGATCTTCATCTCCAATTCTGCCATTGTAATATTAACCACAATTGGTATATGTATTCCTCTAGGGACCTCATATGGATCAATTGTTCCAAGTAAGGAGTCAATCGGTGCAGACTTTCTTAAGAAGAAGTTGTAAATATGCCAGGGCAGCCATCTTAGATATACATATGGGCACAAATTGTAACAACACCTTTTCAGGATCGATAATTTTGTTACACAGCGAGCACAAAGCAAAAGTTCTATCACCCTTGAACTCCCTAACCCAAAAAAAATCTGGGATCGTCAAGCCATTTGCGATTGAAAAAACACAAGTTTCCCCATCGCAGTTGTTCCGTTCGTGTTCCCCTCCTGTTAACAATACTCTTAATGCGCATGACCATATGTCACTTTGGCGCTTTGACTACGAGACTCCCTCAACTCAAACGCAGTAATGATACGTATTGAAAACGCAGTAATGATACGTATTGAAAAAGTAAAACTGGAAACTTCATCGATATATATTTTCCGGAATTATTAAAAATTATTATCTGCAATTTGACGATCTATCTGTTGAAAATAATTATTGTTTGCGACGAATGTTTACAAAATACTGAATTAACATGACAGAAACGGATACCCAACTAATTTCACTGATTTTCAAGGGTTTTTCAAGGCTTACAGTCATTTTCAAGGGTTTTTCAGGACAGACATCAAGTTCAAGGGTTTTTCAAGACCTGTGCGAACCATGTTAACAAACATCCCAAGGACAAAGATTGAAAGCAATAGCTTACATGAGCAACCATGTGAGCTAAAAATTTCATGTTTAAAGACTTACTGTTATTCATGGGTATCAATATGAAATTTTTAAATATAATAAGATCTTGTGGTGCTTAGTACAAGAGAAGGTGTGTGTTTTAAAATTTAGATAACATAGAAATAACCTACCCTTCCCGACGGCATTCTCCATGTCGAATAAAGTAGGACCTGAAAGCTTCTTGGAAACCTGTTGAACTGTAAGTAAAAAAGTATTGTTAAATTCAATTACTATATAATAATAAATGCAGTTATATTCAATTCAATGTAAGTTGAAAAGAAGTTAAACTTAGGTGATGGAGCCAATGTCAGTTGTAGGTTTGTGGGTTGATTAGTGGGGCAGTTCATAAATGTTAGAAACAAATCCTCTTCATGAATGGAGAGCTCCTACAAACCTAGGTGCTTCATTAAAAACTTGTGAATTCCTCTACCTCCAGGTCATCCATTCCCCCCTTGAAGAGGGGAAAGGATACTTAAGAAATGATCAACACATATTCATGTATTGTGGTGGATTATATAACTAGGGTGAGAAAATACTGATTATTTTTTCAACATATTTTAATCCTGAGTTATAGATACAAACATACCTTGATTATATCTATTCTACAATGTAAAATGTCCTCTAGCAAATCTTCAAATGCATACAAAATTAAATGTGTGTACCCTCATTCCACAAAGGAAACCATACCTGATCATGAGTCTTGCTTGTTTACTTTTGCCGAGGAAGTTTCTGGAAGACGTTATTTTGTTGGAAAAAAACATATGCACACACATGGTCTATCCTCCAATAATACATGGTAAATTAACCAATGAAAAGTGTTGTTACATCCAGGCCGTGGATGATTAAGTATATATAGGGAAGTAACATTTTGGGTATAGTTTGCTTATAACAGCTGAGAAAAGATTTCAAACATGGATTTGAATTATCATGTGATTGCAATTCGATGCTATCAAAATGAAGACCCTGACCCGCCCCAATGAGACCCAAAAGGGGTCAAATTGGCTAAATTTTCAATAATCTTATTTTTCAAACTAAGATATGCTTAAACTTTATCTTTTTCATGGATGGAAAAGTCCTTAGGTGCTTTATCAAAATTGTGAAATACACTTTCCTTGGGGCATCAGATTATCCCTTGGGTGAGGGTTAATTTTACAACCAGCTTTATCATATTTGACTATATTATTTCATTTTTTTCCCTGAAAATTGCCAGCTATATATATCATATACATGTATGGTAGTTACTCCCCAGCATCATTTTGTCAAGGAAACCAACTAAGGCATATTTTGATTATATGTTTTATTGTTTTCGTCACATCCAAACAAGAGGCCCAATGGGCCTGCATCGCTCACCTGGTATAAATCTCACACTTGTAACCTTAAAAGTGATCTAAAATAAAGCTACAGGCAAAATATCAGTATTTATGATTAAAATTCATTCAAAAGACCCATTCTTTTTTTTTTTAAAACATTCCACCACTGTGATTGAAAGACGAACAAAGTCATTATGTTGTACACATCTTATAGCCTTTCATCTCGGGATGCAATTTTCAAAGTATCAACATCCTGCAACCCATGGTTATTCAGAAGAGGTCGTTTAAATATTTTAAACAAATTTGACTCCTGTGACCTTGAATATGAGTCAAAGTCATTCACTTTAACAAACATAGTAGTCCTTGATCCAGCATGCTACTTACTAAATATCAACATCCTGAGCCTTTTGGTTATTCAGAACAAGTTGTTTAAATATTTTGAACCTATTTGACCCCTGTGACCTTGAATATGGGTGAAGGTCATGCAGTTGAACAAACTTTGTAGCCTTTCATCTCAGCATGCTACTGGCCAAATATCATCACCCTGTGCAGTTTGGTTATTCAGAAGTTGTTTAAAGTTTTTAACATGTTTGACCCTTGTGACCTTGAATATGGGTGAAGGTCATTGATTTGAACAAACTTTGTAGCCCTTCATCTCAGCATGCTACTGGCCAAATATCATCGCCCTGGGCAATTTGGTTATTGAGAAGAAGTTGTTTAAAGTTTTTAACATATTTGACCCCTGTGACCTTGAATATGGATGAAAGTCATTCATTTGAACAAACTTTGTAGCCCTTCATGTCAGCATGCTACTGGCCAAGTATCATCACCCTGGGCATTTTGGTTATTGAGAAGAAGTTGTTCAAAGTTTTTTTTTAGACAATTGACCCTTGTGACCTTGAACATAAATGAAGGTCATTCATTTGAACAAACTTGATAGCCCTTTACCCTAGCATGCTACTGGCCAAATATCATCACCCTGGGCAGTTTGGTTATTGAGAAGAAGTCGCCAGTGACCTTGAATATGGGTCAAGGTCATTCATTTGAACAAACTTGGTAGCCCTTCATCCCAGCATGCTACAGGCCCAATTTCAGTACCCTGGGTTTTTTGGTTATTGAGAAGAAGTTGTTTGAAGATTTTAAGACATATGACCTCAGTGACCTTGAAAGTTTGTCAAGGTCATTCATTCAAACAAACTTGGTAGCCCTTCATCCCAGCATGCTACAGGCCCAATACCAGTACCCTGGGCCTTTTGGTTATTAAGAAGAAGTCGTTTGAAGATTTTAAGACATTTGACCCCTGTGACCTTGAAAGTGGGTCAAGGTAATTCATTTGAACAAACTTGGTAGCCCTTCCTCCAAGCATGCTACAGGCCGAATATCAGTACCCTGGGCCTTTTGGTTATTCAGAAGAAGTCGTTTGAAGATTTTAAGACATTTGATCCCTGTGACCTTGAAAGTGGGTCAAGGTCATTCACTTGAACAAACTTGGTAGCCTTTCATCCCAGCATGCTAAATGCCAACTATCATAAGCATGGGCCTCTTGGTTATTGAGGTCATTCATTTGAACAAACTTGGTAGCCCTTCATCCCAGCATGCTACATGCCAAATATCATCAGCCTGGGCTCTTGGTTATTGAGAAGAAGTTGATTAAAGGTTTTAACATATTTGACCCCCGTGACCTTGAAAATTGATGAAGGTCATTTATTTGAACAAACTTGGTAGCCCTTCATCCAAGCATGTTTCTGGCCAAATATCATCACCATAGGCCCATTGGTTACTGAGAAGAAGTTTTTTAAAGTAAAAAGTAAACACCGGACGGACGCCGGAGGCCGCACCATGCCATAAGCTCACTTGGCCCTTCGGGCCAGGTGAGCTAATAAATGAGTCATTCATTTGGTCATGTGTGGTCAGACTCATTAAACAATCGCTTTGAACTGGTTTTGAATTTTAATTTTGGTTTTTGTTTAATAAAGATTTTACTGTAGTAGTAAAGTAACACTCTTACACAAGGCTCCACATGTGTATATTCAATGTGTCCCGAAATAGCATTAATCATTTAAAATAGTTATTGATTTTTTTACTTGACCTCAATATGTTTACAGCAAATCTCCATTAAGGATGCCCGTAACAATGCCAAAAACTGGAAGTGTTAGAATCGGTTTTTATGGCATGACTATGGCTTTGATAATGTATTTCTGAAAAGAAAATTATTCCCTGCAGGACTTTCTTGAGAACCAATAAAGATGAAATAAACAATAGTATTCCGAGTCTAAAATTTCAGCGGGTCTAGAACGGGAATCAAACTCAGGACTTCAGATTGTTATGCTATCACTCTTACCAATTGAGCTACCTGGTCAATAACCTAAAATAAAAGTACATTTCCAAGCTTTTATTATGCTCACTTTTATGAAGATTTAATCAAATTGCACTTACAGATTAAATATGCTCAAATAGATATTATACAGTACAAGTTGACTTGCAGGACTGTCGTGACATCCTTCACAGCGTCTGATGATCCTGTGACAAAGTTGCCGCTCAATGTGAGGCATTACCCTCTCTCCCTCACTGCCCTCCATATCACGAACATATGGCAACAGGTGGATTTTTGCTACTGTAGAGCGTCCTTCCATGCAAAGACGGACTGCAACCAACAGATGCTGCAAAAATATTTTTTATAGCTATAGTCGAGTCCTCCGCTTTCTGGCATTGCCTAGAAGCTACTATCACATTTCATCGATGAATTTTCAACTACGGGCGTATTTTGGTTCTCTAGGACTCTCAATATAAATGTCAGATCTTTTCATTTTACTTAAAATCTAAATCGATTTCCCATTATAATAGAATAAATCTTGCATGCTGAATCTAAAAATGATTCACTTACAGGAGCTCTTAATAAGAGTGTAGCTCTCGGGCGCCAAAGGCGCCCAAGCGAAGCTCTTTAATGGTAACACATGCGTGCGTAAACAGAGTTGCTTCCCCTTGTTACACCTTGCCTTTATTTTATTTTTTTCGTCCGGAAGTAGATGTTTAGTGGGGGAAAAAGGAAGTGTATCCTTGAAGCAAAGACAACTGTGTTTCAACCCATACATGAACATATTCATAAAGTGAAAACCATCTTCATGTTTTATTACTTGTTTATTGAGATAAAAACTAATATACATTCTGAGTGAAAAAAGTCTATCACATAAAATGTGATACTAACAGGCATGAAACTTCGTTCGGAGATTATCATACTATGACGTCACAAGCATGTCTCAATCCAGCAGCCTTTATCGGTTAATTCCGGGAGGATAAAAAAAACCCGGAAAATTCTGGAACTGATGTCCGTTGCATTTATCTTTTTGTCAGCGCTTCAAGATTTATTTCATTTCAGTTTTTGTCACTGGCACAAAAAGTAACAAGAGGCCCAAATGGGCATACAAATTCGCTCACCTGGTATAAATCTCACACTTGTAGCCTTTAAAGTGATCTAAAATAAAGCTACATTCAAAAGAACCTGTTATTTTTTTTTTAAACATTTCACCCATGTGATTGAAAGTCGAACAAAGTCATTATCTTGAACAAATTTTATAGCCTTTCATCTCAGGATGCAACTTGCAAAGTATCAACATCCTGGGACCCATGGTTATTCAGAAGAGGTCTTTTAAAGATTTTAAACAAATTTGACCCCTGTGACCTTGAATATAAGTCAAAGTCATTCACTTTAACAAACATAGTAGTCCTTGATCCCAGCATGCTACTGACTAAATATCAACATCCTGAGCCTTTTGGTTATTCAGAACAAGTTATTTAAATATTTTGAACATATTTGCTCCCTGTGACCTTGAATATGGGTGAAGGTCATGCATTTGAACAAACTTTGTAGCCCTTCATCTCAGCATGCTACTGGCCAAATATCATCACCCTGGGGATTTTGATTGTTTAGAAGAAGTTGTTTAAAGTTTTGAACATATTTGACCCCAGTGACCTTGAAAATAGGTGAAGGTCATTAATTTGAACAAACTTTGTAGCCCTTCATCTCAGCATGCTACTGGCCAAATATCATCACCCTGGGGATTTTGGTTGTTTAGAAGAAGTTGTTTAAAGTTTTGAACATATTTGACCCCAGTGACCTTGAAAATAGGTGAAGGTCATTAATTTGAACAAACTTTTTAGCCCTTCATCTCAGCATGGAACAGTGGTTGAGACTAAATATTAATATAACGACGATCTCAGTTACATCAAAGTATTACAACGTTTTCTTTTTTTAATTGAATTTTTTAACTAACATCTCTATACATTTACTTAAGACTAATTGTCAAATATGTAATATGCACTTTTTCTATAGCAATTACCAAATAGTTTTTTCCCAAACTTATCTCAATCATTCTTTTTGTGCCCTGACGGAAGCACACAGAAGATTTAATTCTTAATGTGGGAGGAAGCTGGAGTATCCAGAAAAAACCTGCGTGGTCAGGCAGGTGACCGGGATTGAATACGGCCATCTTGATGAAGACGAGCACGCTATCCTCTGGCCCATCCATAATATACGTTACGCACAAGAACAAATATCTACTTTAGCTTTGCCTGGAAGAAAATGGCGTCATTGATGTTAAATATATATTGTGAATACATTTTTACCAATCATCAATGATACAAAAAGCTATAAACGGTAAACCGGGGCAAGTTCGGCCACCCCTGATAACTTTTGTTTTTGAGCTAATATTCACATCTTTAAGGATCTTAGCAGTTTAGTTGGCTGGGCATTGAACGAAAAAATGGCGAGGAAAACTCTAATGTGAAATTACTAAATTACTGAACAGAACTTTTTGAAACGGAATTGCTACTTTTTTTTACAGTCAAAGGTGTAACACACTAACAGCTTCAAATGATAATACATAAAAGCCAAGCCAATCACTCACTACCATATTGCTGAACGATAAGAATTTATTGAAATATCAATTTGGGCCTGAACAGGTTCGGCCAATGATACCGTGGTCGGCCCATGTAGTTAACACATAAAACGTCGTAAAAACGCCGGTAAAATCTGATATTTCATGCTTTATGACGTCATAATCAAGCTGATCCAATGGGGGCCGAACTTACCCGAATGCCTGGCCGAAGTTACCCCATGTCGGGGCTCGTTCAGCCATCCGATCCTGCGACAGGAAAAGTTAAATAATGTTCAAAAACGGACGTGCTGCCACACTTCCTAGAACGGAATTTAATAATAAAAAAAAAAAGGGGCCGAACTTGAACTTATCGCATTCTGAATCAGTAAATATTAGAGATCAACAAAAGCTACGCTCTTTTAAGGCTTTGCCGTTTCATATTGTAACTGAAAACAAGTACATAATTTACCATATATGACTTAGGGAATCTCCATGCTAGTTCCTTCTAAAAGCTGCAGGAGTGGCGGGAAACGAAAAATTTACAGGAGCTCTTATTATAACTGAAAACAAGTACATAATTTACCATATATGACTCGGGGAATCTCCCTGCTAGTTCTTCCAAAAGCTGCAGGAGTGGTCGGAAACGAAAAATTTGGAACAGCCCATTCAGAAATTGGTCCAAGCTGCAAGTATTATATACGCAATCCCACCAACCAGGAATCCAAATCCTACCTCCATGACGATACCACCAACGCGCTGGAATCCAAATACTACCTCCATGAGGAATACCTTCAAAGATTAACGGTTTGATTAAAAAACTATTTACAGTAGTCAGCATAGCTATGGAAAATTAGATTTATACAAAAAAACATAACTTGATATCACTATACCTTAATATATTTTGTTTAATAGATATATTTGATTCCCCACATCGAGTCATGCTTAAAGGGTAGCTGAATTGACATTGATTTGCTTGGACAACTTGTGGACAACTCGTACATATTTTATACCTTTGTGTACATAGTGATACGCTTTACTGGTCATTTGTCTGATGAAGGTGACAGCATATATACAGTGAAAGTCATCATAAACGTCACATAGAAACATTTATTGGTTGTGCTACATGAATCTTTTCACAATCCCTAAATGATAGTTTTTCATTTTTCATACTTATTTATCTGGTCATTCTATGTATTATTACAATTTATGCAACATAATTTATTTTGGGTTTTCCATAATCATGAAATGTGTCGTAACAAGAAAATCTTTGTTCTTGACCCTAAGGGATGCCCTTTGCAAAGTATAGTTAATCTTCCTTCAGCCATTCTGTACAAGTAGTCTTTTTTAAAGGAAAAGTTGATAACTCAGACATCAAAATAAAGGACATTAGACAACAAATGACACTAAATAGCATAAGCTTTGGGCCAGGTAAGCTAGTAAAAAACATCTTCTATATATTATATAAATTTACATGGCTGTAATTTTTGAATTATCCAATATTAAAACTGTTAAAATTAAAACAAATAGTATATGTACTGCAAAAATTATTCTGTTTTGTCAACAGTTACCTTGAGGTTGGTTCTCTGGTGGTCGGTTTCTACAATCTTCATCAGCATTAGGATCTATATGGATAACATTTTGGTTATTATGCTGCCCGAGTTCTTGCCTCAACATGCTCGCCAAGTAGCTTTCCTTGGCTGTTCCATTCACTGGGTGAAGGTTGTGATCTGAAACCGGCTGAATGTTGTGCATAGTTACCTCATCCTCAGTTGGTTCCATTTCAATGACGCATGTGTCAGCAGGATGAAACTTTGAATGGGAAACATGCTGCCTAGGTTCTTGCCTTGACATGCTCGCCAAGTAGCTTTCCTTGGCTGTTTCATTCACTGAATGCAGGTTGTTATCTGGAACTGGCTGTTCCGTCTCATTAGAACATCTCTGATCTTGAAATGTATCATTGGCCAATTGTACATCAACTCCCCGTCGGATGCTTTCTTCATCCATTTCAGTTGGAGGGAAATTGGGACAGACAAATGGGTTCGCACTACTGTCATTGAAGGACTCTTCGTGAGGTTGAAAACTATGGTTTGATGTTTGACCTCTAATGTTATTTGAGGGAGGCGATACTTGTAAAACAGCATGAAAGGTAAAAAGTATCAGAGAAATTGAAATCAAAAACCACATTAATTTAA